TTTTACAGGGGTAATGGTTTATGATGTTAAGAGCCTACACTCAAAGTTAGTTCTTCGAAAACCTTCTTCTCACTATTTATTTCAATTCTTGATTTTTTTTATATTGGGTTCTTTTTGTTTGACCTAAAACATTTGACTTTGCAATTACTTTTCGATTTTTTCAGGGAGTTTGAGTACGAGAAAACAATGCTCTTGTAGGAAGTTTTACTGACACATTATCACTCAGAACACCTGCACCTCTATGCATATTTTGCTCTCTTGAAATGATATCATAATAAAATAATGACGGAGGTAATGGACTTTGACAACCTTTTGAAGTTTAATTGTTGTCTGCACTGCATTCCGCAGTCTTGAAATTATGCATCAGTAAGCTTTTTGTCTTGATATCTTCATAATTTCTTCATATAAGTATGTCATGTTATCAATTTCCTAAACTGTTTGATATGGAATTCTGCTTTTAAGGTATGGAATAATAAATAAGGGCTTCTTGTGATATATTTCCTCGAGTACATTTATTTCTCGAGGGCTGTTTTCAAGAAGGATTCATTTTCAAGCTTGCATCACATCGCGAGCAATTGTGGTAGAACGAGAGATCTTTGGTGATTGTCGTCAACGCAACACAGTCACCAACGATAAGGGCATTGATTATAAATTATGTATCAAATAGGAATGATCGTGCCATTATTGAAAGATAAGTAATTTTCATTCAGTCTATTAAGTTTATTTTATAATTGGGTTATGCATAATGCAGGTTGCGAGGTTCAGATCATATGATGTGATGATGGCTTATTCTTTAATATAAATGGTGTAATTGAGAAAAACAAAGTATGTGTGTTGGTCTCTCTGACTTATGAATTTTGGGCAGTTTTGTATTTATAAACACTCTTCCTTCTTGGCAGGTCAATATGCGAACTATTGGCAATCCTTGACATCATCAAAGAACAGATCTCGTCATAATAAAAACTTTGGCCTACATCTAAATGTTACTCTGATGTTTGACTTATTAAACAACATTGTTCTTCACGATCCTTAGAGGATATGCTCCCGTATCCTTGCGTTTGTTCATAATGCTTACTTTTATAATTATCGTGAACATTTAGGTTCACACATTTATTATCATTAAACTTTGACAAAGTCATTGGACTGTGAAGTATGGGAAACATATTCTCCGTGTTTTAGAATATTGTAGCATACTTTTCAGAATTTGTTACTGAAAATAAATGTAAGATTATGTTAGAAATGTTGTTGCAAAGGATTTAAAACAAGTAATTAATTCTCTAGAGAAAGATAAATTCAGTTAGGTAACATGAATACAAAGTTTTCATATTGTCATGTGATATAATGCTTTAAAGCTTTGATTATCTTTTGTATGCACTGTCTCATGGGGACTACTGACCCTACATTGTGAGGGGTAGACATTGTAGCTTTGCGTAGTGGTAGCCAATTAACTACTGAGCAGCGCACCATGCCGATTCTCCCTGTGTGTGAAAAAGAAGTGGTTGATGCTATCAACAATATAGGGGACCTCACAGCTCCAGGCATTGATGGCTTTGGTACAAATTTTTTTAAACATTCCTGGGAAGTTGTTAAGACTGATATGCTAGAGCTTGTGAAAGAATTCTTTGTTAAAGGTAAGCTGGATGAAAGGCTTAACAAGATTATTGTCACTCTTATTCCCAAACACGATAAAGCCACAAACATTAGAGATTTTAGGCCCATCTCCTATTGTACTATAATGTATAAAGTAATTTAAAAAATTATGGAAAATAGAATGAGCAAGATGCTGGGGACTATTATTAGCAAGACCTAAGTTGCGTTTGTGTCAGCCAAAATGTTCAAGATCACATTTTACTTGCTTATGAGCTGATAAAAGGTTATAATAGGAAGGGAGGGATGCCTAGATTCATGGTCCAAATGGACATTCGAAAGGCCTACACCTTTGTGGATTGAAAGGCTTTGAAAACTATCCTGGCTGAAGTTAGATTCCCTCGTAGATTTATCAGTTGAGTGATGCTGGCAGTTTCTATTGTTTCCTATCAATTCAATATTAGTGGCAGTGTTATGAAGAGTTTAAGGGAAGCCAGGGGGATGAGGCAGGGTGACCCTATTTCTCCCTTGCTGTTTGTGGTGGTGATGGAGTATTTACACAGGAAATTAGAGGGCTTGAGCAAAATTCCTAACTTCAATTTCCACGGTAAATGTGAGAAATTGAAGCTTGTGTATCTTAGTTTTGCTGAAGATTTGCTATTGTTTTCTAGGGGGATAGCATATCTATTAAGCTGATGATGAAGGCATTTTCAGAGTTCTCTATGTCCACTGGCCTGCAAGTTAACCCGAGTAAATGTAAGGTGTATTGTGGCGGTATGTCGGGTAGTGAGCAATCTGTGTTCGTGAATATTACTGGTTTCAGCAAGGGTCATATTCCGTTTAGTTACCTGGGTATTCCGTTAACAAGAAGTAAAATCTCGAATAACCAATTCTTAGCCCTTGCGGAAAAAACCGGGGAAAAACTTAAGCACTGGAGCTCACACTTACTAAGCTATTCTGATAGAGTGCAGTTGGTGAACAGTGTAGTGTTTGGATGTGCTAATTACTGGCTTAGATGCATCCCTTTGTAGAAGGGTGTCATCAAGAAGCTGGAGGCCATGTGTAGGGCCTTCGTGTGGTCTAGAAGGAAGTTAAATTCGCATAAATCACCTGTGGCTTGGGAGAAGGTGTGTTCCCCTAAAAAGCTTGGTGGTTTAGATATAATAAACTTCCATATTTGGAAAAAATTCTGTCTGGCTAGATTGCAGTGGAACCTTTGTAGTAAGGCTAACAGTCTGTGGATGCGGTGGGTCCATGCGTATTATGTGAAGCAAGCTGATATGATGAATATGGACATGAAGGAGAATGGATCTTGGATCCTTAGAAATATCATGAAAATCCATCACGAATTCAGCTCATTACATATATGGAATAACCTGCTGAATTCGAGGCTTTTTCAGGCTAAGAAGTTCTATCTGGAGTTTTTGCAGCATATCCCAAGGTTGAGTGGAGAAGTCTTGTGTGTAACAATACAGCTAGGCCTAGGGTTGTTCTTGTACTCTGGCTTGCATGTCAGAATTGCTTGGCTACAAAATACAAATTAGCTAAGTTTGGTGTTAATATCGACCTGCAGTGCGTGTTCTATGATGTGTCTGAATCAATTCAGCATCTCCTTTTTGAATGCAGGTACACAAAGAGTATTTGGAGTGATATTCTTGATTGGTTGAATGTCTGCCATTACATTCAAGGATGGAACCATGAGCTTCCTTGGTTGATAAAAATGTCCAAGAGAAAAAATTAGAGAAGTCAATTTGTGAAGATTGTCGCCGCGGAGACGATTTATGAAGTGTGGTGGAATAGAAACTATATTGTCCATAATCATTGTTAAAGGGATAGTAATGCAACTCAGTGCATTATAGATAAGATTGTAAATAGAATATGGGCATACCCCCACTATAGAGAAAGTATACCAAAACTCTTGTTGCCCTAATTTGTTGGGCCCGAGTTTCTAGTTTGTTCCGTTGGACCCTCGGGGTTGCGTTTGCTTGTGATCTATTTTTTTGGTTAATATAATCGTTATTTCAAAAAAATATATGTTTCTAACTGCAGGTTTTACGGAATGGGATTTTGTACTTCCTTCGAGATCTCGCTGATCCAAACTATAATCCATTTTGTGATCTGATATATGACTTTTCAAGAATATCTAATTTAAACATAAAATAAGTACCTGGTATAGCTCCAACAATGCAAAAAGCTTCAGATTTTGCATCCATTATACATGCAACACACTTTACATTGCCATTTCCTGTTAAATTGGAACCTCTACCTGAACATGTACAACAAGTGTATTCATTTTTCTCGATAGTAACTGAAGCAACTAGGAAAATCATAAACAATGAAGTCGCCATCAAATGTTATTTATCTTGAAGAAGGGAAAGGAAAACATCGAGTAAACCTGAAGTAAGCGAGAACACAATCTCGCGACAAAGAAACGGGTACGGGAGTCAATTACGCAAGGAGAAGATATTAGCACCCCTCACGTCTGTGGTACTCTACGGGATTCACTCTTGTTGTTCGAATCAAATGGCGTGTCTATCTAAACTTACAAGCTAAAGGAAAATGCATGAATGCAAAAGAAAAATACAGGGAAAACAAAAGTTTTAAATATTTGTGCTCGCTTAGGCCCTACAACCCAATGCCTACGTATTCCTTTTAAGGAATCAAAGCTCCGTAGTTCGGCTAAGAAGTTTTTGTTTGTTTGTGTTTTTTAATGACTGGTGCTAATTTTGCATTCCACCGTCGCTCGACCTTTGGAGACTAACGCAATTGTCATAGAAATGAATTAACATGTTCTTACCTGAAAAGGTTTTCAAAAGAAAAAATCCTGAAGGCAAAAGGAGTTTGAATTGGTTATGTCTTTTTGGTAGGAGAATACATAAAGTAGCTCCCTTAGACAAGGGGTACTTAAATACTTCTCCTTTAAGTTTTGAAAATGTTTAAGACACATGTCATGCTAAAGTCTATGACATGAAGACCCTTGGATGATTGAGTCAGATGCCTCGGATTCGAAGTCCTTTCCATGTACTTAAGGCTCGTGGCGCATTACACATATCTTTAATTATTAAGTATGTTTTCTGATTAAGAAAGAGAAATTTTAGTTTTAGATGGATGTAAAAGAAAGCAAAATCTAAGGGAAATTTAAGTCCTAATGTTGTCATACAAGGGTGGTCCTCAAGTTGATTTAGAAGGGAATTTTTTATCTATGATTATCATACATGGTTTACACGTAAAGTCTAATTTTAATTCAATTTAATCAAAGATTAAAATTGAATTAAAACAAATCTAAAAGATCATGGTAAGATCAACCAAACCAAAAACAAGTACAAAAGAATAAAATTCTATTATAATATTCATTTATCATAAATTCGAAACGAAAAATATTTGGAAACAATTAACAAACAGTTATTGAAACAATGGAAGTGCAAAGAGATAAGCCAGGGGGTGCAAGCTGCAGTTAGTGGTGTGGAACAATAAACTGAACGCTAGGTCCACTTAGTGTGGTCCATAACCAGTCTTTTTTTGTATCACAAACTTCAGGCATAAAAAAAAACCAAAACGAGCCTTACGGAGAAAAGTGCTTGGGTCCATCATCCATTAGCATTTTTATTTCTTTTCTCTCATTTTCAGTTTGTTAGTAATTGAGTAAAAAAAAAAAAAACAAATAAAAAGAATAAAAAATATTAAACGCGAGCGTTTCAGGACAGTGATAGGGTCTGAAGCTTGTGACTCTTCAACTTTGTGAGACACACGATCTCTTTCATCTTCTTCATCGACAGCGCGGACTCAATCTTCTTCCTCTCCGCCGTGGCGAACGCCTCCGTCCTATCTCTCCTCCACCAATCTCTGTCTCAATCCCTCTGATGCTGTTATACTTTCTTCCTCTATTTCCTTTACCGATGTGTATTATGTTATGATTTTCTGGGTTAATAAGTTCCCTCTGAATTTCTGATTTGCTTGCTTTAAGTTCTCTTCAATTTTCTACCTTTTGAGTTCAATAATTTTCTGATGCAATGTATGGTTTAAAATTGAATGAACATGGTTTTGGTTGAAACATTGCAAGACGGATTGGTTTCAGTTTGAACCGACTTTATTGCAGGGGAGTTTTTGTGTGGAAATTTCTGTGTTGAACTGATGTGAGGTGCTGAATAATTCTTGCAGGTTTGGTTGAATGCAGGGTTTTGCTTATGTTTTGGAACAGGGCTTTTTATTATGCAGCAAGTTTTGGCTCGTGAAGATGAAGGATAAATTCTAGGATTTTATTATGTATCTGTTTCTTTGGAATGTAATATGGATTTTTAATGTCTTGTGATGGAATTTGAAATGTATGGAATTGATTTTTTATTTGGATCTTGAATATGTATTTTGTAATGGTTTCTTGGCTATCTTGAATAAGTCTTAAAACCTTTGGGTCAATATTATATGAATGCATCTTGAGTGAATTTTGCATGAGATTGGTAGATGAACTTGAATGAAGTAATATCATTTGAAACCAAGGAGAATGCCTTTGTAATTTGAATCCAGAAATTCAAATGAATGAACTTTTCCCTCCTTAGCATGTTTGAATTACATCTTGAGTTAACCGCCCTGAATTCCAAAAAAAAATTATATACTTTAACTCTTTTGAATCGCTCTTGATAACCAAAACATGTATTTAAGGTCTTTGAACCATATCACATAGAAACATGAATCTCATATATCACTTGTTTGATCATCAACGAAACACTAGTCCAAGAATCATCCCATCACTAATTCATGTGATGATAGATCCCAATTCAGGGCGAAACTCAATGGTAACTTGTATCTCGAGAAAAATGAAGATACACATTTCAATGAATTATTAAACCCAATATTCTTCAACCTAGAGATATCCCTTAATAAATTCATATGATCCTCAAGTGCACAAAGTAAGCCATAATCTAAGAAGTCAAAGTAATCAATTGATCACCAAATGTCTAGGGAAATAAACCCTAACTCATGATCCATGAACCTCAGTTGTTGAACATTTACCATATTCAAATGCCATGTATGAGAAACCCTAATTTGATATCATTGATGAAGAATGGTCTTGAGGAAGAGGTCCATGTCAACCAACAACCAAAACCCTAATCCTCTTGATCCATGTTCAAAGAAAAATCCAATTGAACCAAACTTATTTGATGTAGAAGCCTCAATCCACTATGAAACCCTAGCTCGCACAACCACTGAACTTTTTGAACCCATGGTACTTTATTGAATGAAATGCATGACCTAATGAAAAGATGCATATGCAATACTAAGCTTAAGCCAAATAACAATAAATTAGGAGGGCGAATTTTTGGTGCAACAGGAACTACGTTTTTTCTGTCTTAATAAAGTTTTGTTTGTGATTTTTTTCTCAAAATAAAAACAGTCAAGTACCGTATTAGAAGGTACCGCCATGCTGTTTTTTCGCAACTGTTTTGCGGTAATGTACCATTTTTCAAAACTTTGTGTAACTGCTTCATAGTCTTGAGGCAGCTTCTTCGCCTGTTTGGTTTTATAGCAGTGGAGACAGTCTTGCAGCTGCAGTTGTTAAGCGAAAATGGTAAATTTAAGGTCGGGGAAGTTACTTATTAGGTGTAAATTTGGGATAAATTGTGAAGGGTCTTTGTAGCCTGAAATCCAAGTTGTCCGAGAAGGTAAGGACTTTTGTGTTATGTGCATCTGTTTTCGGACTTAGATCTGATAGAGTTGGAATTAGATTCTAAATTTGGTATTATTTAGGTGTTGGATAACACACATTAGTAAGTCCTTTTGATAGAAATCAATGTTGGGTTGCTTAACCTTCGCGATTTGATCCTATTTGATTAGTCTTTTGTTGGTTTATATTTGTTTATAAATAGGCTGTTAAGTGCTATCTTTATACATGAGATTGTAAATATACCAATTCTGCATAATGTGTTATCTTAATTGTTTGTGGTTAATATTGACAGATCTAAAATCCAAGATGTTGCACCAAAAAGGTTCCAGTCTCAACTTGATCTTGTTCAACAATTGGTTTTAGAATATCAAGGATCTTTTCTTGATGTTCAATAAAGATAAATACTGTAATTCAATCAACCTAAGATTTGCTATTGGGCTTTGCTTTGTTTGTGTTTTTGTTATGGACATCTCAGTAATGTTTCTTTGTTTGCCTCCTTATTCTGAATCTTTTAGTGCTTATGTTGCACTAATGTTTCTTTGTTGGCTAAGAATGTATTTTGTTAGTAAGTAATTCTGTAGATCTCTACTTGGCATGGCTAGTATAAAAAGTCATTGCGATATATGGCAGCAGTTCATACCAAGAAATATTATATTAAATAGCAAATAGCGTCTCTAATTACTCATTTTCGTACAGGTTCTATTAGCATCTCTAATTACACATGTTTGTACAGGTTCTATTAGTTTGGTACCATGATGCATGTCCAATGTTAAGTTTTGACAAGTGTATTAAAGTTTCAGTTGGATGTCTCTCTAGCTCCTGGACCTATAGTTCCAACAACAACAGTGACTAATATTTCTACTAAAAGTCATCACATTGCTACCACTATCAACATGACACTACGCCAAAAACTGCTTTTGCCAGCGCCTCTACTAAAGCGCTTATTGAAAAAGCGCTGCCATAGCCTTCACAAAAAACAAAATTAAAAAAAAGGGAAACCTACGAAGGCGCTTTTTTAAAAGCGCTGGCATAGGTGGGGGATACGAAGGCGCTTTTTAAAAAGCGCTGTGGTAGGTCAAATAAAAATATTAATAAAAATGAAATAATAGGGTTATGAAGGCGCTTTTTTAAAAGCGCTGGCATAGGTGGGGGATACGAAAGCGCTTTTTAAAAAGCGCTGTGGTAGGTCAAATAAAAATATTAATAAAAATGAAATAATAGGGTTATGAAGGCGCTTTTTACAAAGCGCTGTGGAAGAATGGCCTTTGAAAGCGCTTTCAAAAGCGCTGGCATAGCTGGACCTATGAAAGCGCTTTTACCCTAAAAAGCGCTGGTAAAAGCCCCCCTATGAAAGCGCTTTCAAAAGCGCTGTGATAGCTTATATTATTTTTAATTTAATAACTTAAAACATCAAAATAACATATTATTCATTCTTTTCTTCAAACGCAACTCTTCTTCCTCCGTCTTCGTCCGTCCGTCCGTCGCAAGTCTTCGTCTTCATCATCATTTGGAAGAAGGGCAGTGATCAAGTGTATAAGTCATCATCATTTTCTTCATCTCTCAAACACCCAACTCAAAATATTCTCTTCAAGGTAAGTTCTTAGTTAGAACTTGGGGTTAGAAGCTTAGGGTTGTATGTTCATGTGTGGTCTTGTGCTAATGCCTGAAATTCATGACAATGGTATGATTATTGAGTATGCATGTACCGATTTTATGTTTTTTTGTTCCCCAAGCATGTTAGTATAGGGAACCGGAGGAATTGATACAGAAAAAAATAAGTCTAATTTTATTGGCCTGAACTTTTAACTCTGATACTTATCAAGGGAATAATTCAGTTGTTTAGCCATATTTTCCTCCCAATTTCATGTCGCTCTTCAAGTCCTTGACATACTTTTGAATGGTATGCCCAAAAATGTCTGAATCCTGTGACTTTTAGAATAACATAAGCATGGAAATCCTAAGGTTGAAATGAATGAATTATATAAAACCCAGGAAGCTATTCAGTGAGTGTTAACTTGAGTTTGAATTTTGCAGCCTGCTACTCTAGAATCTGTGAGTTCGCTATGAGCTGATGGAAGTTGTTTTTTGTTCTGCTACCGGTGTGTTCGCTATGAGCTGATGTGAGTTCGCTTTGAGTTTGGGAATGTTGTGTCCATGCTTTTTGTCATTAGTTTGTTTTGTCTGTGCCTGATTCATCAGTTTGCTTTATAAAATTGTTGATGATCTCATTTTTTTGTCCTAATATAAGAAAATTTTAAACATAATGCTTAAATTAAAAAAAATCTCAATCAAACTAGTTATTCCTAAACGGTTTTAGGGATTAGATTAACCCTTTCGAAAGAACTAGTATGATTGATGACTTTTGCATTTGACATATCAATAATTTTAAAGAACAAATTGACACCACCGTGTCACGTAAGTCGTAAGTACTTATCAATAGTAAAAAGTTGCACAAACATTTGTTATGCTCGGATGCAAGTTGAACACACAATTGTCCTCTTCTTAACACTTAATACTAATGTGTGGGTTTAGCCGCCGATTTCATTAGAACTAAACAATGAAATACAAAATTTACACCACCCTAATAACTATGCATTTATATGTACAGAGAACTTCAAAGTCCAAATACGCTATATATGTTCATACTCTCTACCTCTAAATTATTGATTTATTCAACTTCTCTTTTTCTTGTTAATATTAACATGAACACTTCCTCTCAGTTTTTCTTCCTTTCACTCATTGCCATATGGCTCATATCTCTAACAGCTTTTGGAGCTACTACAGTTCACCCGGACGAAAGTATGATATGTATTTCTACATAGCTCCCAAATCATAAAGAAATATCTTCAATCTGATATTTCTTTTTAGTGTATTTTATCTAAGAATTCATGTTAGTTTAAATACCATGTATTTTTCTGCTCATATAGGAATTCTGTATATATATTTGATGACGTTTGTGTTGATTAGAAAATTTTCACTAATAGCTTCTGAATTTGTATATTTAGAGAAAGCTCTTGAAGATATAGCTATATCACTTGGTAAGAAGGACTGGAACTTCGACATAGATCCATGCAGCAACGAACCTAACTGGTTTACGCCTCCCATACCCAAAATCTTAGAGAACAATGTTACCTGTAACTGCTCTGTTCCTGGTGAGAACTTCTGTCATGTTACTATAATGTAAGTCTCTTTTTCGTGGAAATGACCCCTTTCTATCACCACTTCTAAATCTAGTTAATTCGATTTGAATATTTTTTCATTTACAATAGCAATCAAGTATTTACATTGATATAGAGGCAGGAGTTGATATTGTATAAAGTATGTATGTACACACGAGTTAGATAGGTTAATTCCACTCAGCAAACTTAATTGATATGCTTATACCCTACAATGAAATTAATGTTCTCATCATTATACGCATCTATACTAGTGCTATACCTTACAATACAATTAAGATTTTAAAGTAAAATCAATTATCAAACATATGTATTTTTGTTAAGTTATGTTTGACATATAGTAATGTCAGCTTTAAAACTTTGTTGTAGAAGAACTTGTTGCAATTTTTCCTTTTAAATCTACGAACTGAGAAACATAAAATTATTTTCTTTTAATAACTTTTTAATGAAAAAGTGAACATACAGAAGTTTGAAAGGGCAAAATCTTCAAGGCACTCTCCCACGAGAACTGAACAGGTTGCAATACCTTCAAACTATGTAAGTGTTTCTCACACTTTTCCACATCCAATTAACCATATTATTGAACTTGTTTAATATCTTCAACTGCTTGTA